AAGACCTAAAACACACAGAACCCATTCATTCCTACAGCGGCTCCTGAAGATGGGGACGCTTCCGTGCAAACACAAAGAGAAGCGTCTCGGACGGTCAACAGAAGTCTTCATGAGCAGAGAAACATAAATGGACAGAAGGGTCGCTGTGGTCTAATTATAATCTCTCACGTGAACAATAAAGCCTCTTACACTGAGCTGACTCTGGTCCAAACTCACTGACGCTGTGGGGAATTCTGTGTCGCTGAGACAAAGAGATAATTTTGTCAGACGGAGAGAAAAAGAATGAAAAAAAAAAGGACAGACGAGGACGGAATCAAGGAGGAGAAGAGAAGGTCAGACTGGAGGGTGATATGTGCCTTCATTCATACTTCAGCGTCCACTCTGTCCTTCATGTGAAGCTTTATTGCCTTTCTAACTGGACACAGACTGGGAAGATTTTATTATTTGAGACAAATAAAATCACAGTTACGACATATTTGATTCCCCTGTTTGTTATTGCTTTGGTAGAATCATCATCTGAATCCACCATGAGGTGCAAGTCTAACCTCCAATAACACATTTGTGACTTGGAGGAGGGTGAGTCAAATTTCTCCCCCTTCATATTATCACTTGCGAAGGCTGCAATAAGGTAACTCACTTTCCCAAATGAAATTAATTTCCGTCCACGGTGCTGGCGTTTGCGCCCTTGTCCCGTCATGGGTTCAGTGGTGGAACAGGCCAGGATTTACGACTGTTTGTCTGAGAGGCTGTTTCTGGTAAAACTAATAGGAACTTCAGACATTATTTTGATTAAGATCCTGACGCTGAGGCTTCTCTGTCCTCCGTCACCGCGGTGTGAATACTGATAGGACACGTGAAACTGAGAGGTGAAAGATGAGACAGATGTAGAGAAAATGTAGAGTCAGAGTCAGGAAAAGGGAAAATGGATTGGCCTGGTCGGACGCTCTGTACTGGTGGCAGAGAACTGAAGTAATGACAGGAACAGAGAGTCATCCTCCATAACAGACTCCATGCCTCCTCCACCTGACTGTCATCCTGCAGCCGCCTTTAAATCAGATGTTTTCCATCTTAAGGTCTTTCCTCACTGCTTTGCCTGTCTCACCTCCGTGACGTCCCATTCATCCCCCCACCCCACCTCCTCCTCTCTCCTCCTGCTTTCTTTATTATCATTCAGCCATGGCTGGTCTGTCAATCCACCTGACCCTTAGCCGCCTAAATCACCACGATGAATTCTCCACCAAGCCCTGACAGCATGTCGACACAATCCCCCCACTTGACACCCAGCAGGCTGACTCCCATCTGCAGCGTCTAAATCAAAGAGGCTCTGAGCAGCGACCGGGGGAGGAGGGGGGAGAGGAGGGAGGGAGGGAGGAGGGATGTCGTACATTGAAAGAAAAACACACCCAGTTCCTCAAGTTGGGATCAGAAAGTAGACAAGAAGTAGTAGCGCACCACCAGGGGGCGATGATTAGCGGTGAAATTTATCAGTTCCGTAAAATAAATCATAGATCAGTCTTGGTGGAAGGAAACAGTCGTCCTGCCTGTTCTTGATTTCATTCATTGATTTTCTGTTAAATGTCCTTGAGAGTTCTGAACGACGGTTTTTAATAAAGAAAAGCTGTTGTTATCATTATTATTGTTTCACTTCTCTTCTCTGCATAAGGTCACTGCAGCCATGGCAACAGGCTGACGGGAGATTTTTATCCACTGAAGACGGTTCACAGTGAAACATCACTGTCAGATAAACAACAACGCCACAGTCAAAACAGCCAAAACAGCCAAAACAGTCAAAACAGCCAAAAGTCCCGAGTTGATCACTCAACTCAAGGATATGTACATTTCTGAATATAGTTCCCCAGGAGGAACCATCAGTTCCAGAGCATTCTAAAATCACTCCAGACGTTAATGGATGGCTCACATTATTGTTTGCTGATCAGCTGCTGTGGACACTTGTTTCAGAGCGTCTCATTACGTCCTTCTGCTCGCTCTCATTATGCAAATGGACCAGAAACGAACTAATGTTATTATTATAAGTCATAAAAGATTACCACCACCACCACCACCACCAGCACCACCACCAGCAGCAGCACCTCCCCAAGGCAGACCACAAACCACGCCGAGGAAGAGGCGTGGGGAGGAGGTGTGGGGGGGGACAATGCCCCAGCGTTTGTTTTAATCAAACTAAAGGCGGTGGTCGTGAAGCCTCACTCCAGCTCTAAGGCTAATGAAAGAGGAGGCAGAGATGAGTCAGAGTTGACACTCAGAGACAGTTCAGTGTCTGAACTCTGAGTTCTGTCTCCTTTTCAGGGAGACGTGGATGAGCCCCAAGTGCAGACGGAGGACTTTGATCAGAAGATGTTTAAGTATTCAGGCCTAGGCAGCGGCAGCGACACGACAGCAGCGACGGCTTTAAAGAATCTTTTAATTTGTCGCACAGCAACAGGATCTGTGTGATGTGTATTTAAAGAGCGCTCGGCTGCATGTATCCAGGAGACTGTGCCCAAACAGGTGTGTGTGTGTGTGTGTGTGTGTGTGTGTGTGTGTGTGAGGTGTCCTCAGGCTGAAGCAGGTGGCTGAGGAGGAAAGGCCAGTTACTGCACCGCTCCTCCCTGCAGTCGTTTCTATCTGGCAGATTGAGAGCACATCACTGCCCTCCTCCTACACAGCACCACCTCCCCGCTCCAACTGCACCGCTGACAGTGGTTGGAACCCGGCCAATCTCCGACACCACCACCACCACCACCACCACCACCATCATCATCATCATCATCATCATCATCATCCTCCTGTGGAGGAGAATAATCCGGAGGAAGCGGTGAATGTCTGGACCTACAGTAGAGGACTGAACTGTTCCTCCATTTCTTTTCCCGTCGTCTTCTTCGTCTTCCTCCTCCCCTGTGTCCCGTCCCCCGTTCTTCCATTAAGGTATCTCTCCCCCTCCTCACCCCCCGTCCTCACCTGCAGCAGCAACAACACCATAAAGGATGCAAAGTGCTTTGCTTTTCAAAAGCGAGTCCCTCGTCTTCTCCTTCACCTTTATCTTTTTTTATATTGCCAACACCATCCTCCTCCCCCGGCCTCCCTCTCTCTCTCTCCCTCTCTCTCTCTCTCTCCATTGCAGTCTCCGTCCCTCTCACCTCCCATAAATCCCTGCTTCCATCCATCTCTTTGATGGAACAGGTCAATTAAGCAGCCGGCGTCAGAGGGAGATTAGATTCTAACCCGTACTGTAGTGAAGGTAATCATGAAGTGGGAGCTGTGGCTTCAGCTCCCACTGAACAGGACTGTGTGATAATGTGACCAGCGGTTGGTCTCTGGAGCACTGATGCTGTGAACACACACACACACACGCAGCTGCATCCTGATCTATTGTGTCACTGTGTAGAGTGGAGTTGATGTTTATGATGTAGCACAGATGGTAACAAGTCCATGTCAGGCCCACTACTGCCCCCGCAGGCCAACAGTGACTGCAGGTCAACCAGGCACAGAGATCAAAGAGGAGGACAGGTTGACAAAGACCACTGTACCGCACACACACACACACACACACACACACACTAATACACAGTACATACTGTACACGTACAGACTCATCAACACAGTCTTCACCCAGTGGGGTTGAAGATAATTATATTTTTCCCTAGCGTCCCCTGATTAACGAGATTATATTTTTATCTCCAAATATTGACTTGTCTTTTCGTCCTCAAAAATGCCAGAAAAAATGACATGAAAATAAACGTTATTTTAGTTTTGTCTATGAACTTAAGCCTAGGTTTCTCTCCTTAAACAGCAAAAAAATAATAATAATTTGACCAGTGATGTAGAAAAAAAAATTAAAAATAAAAATCAACCAATCCAAAGGCCAGATTATTTCAACATTTTTCCCATTGGGAATAAACATACCATCAAGAAAACATCGAACTGTCAGTGTTATTATATTATGATAATTAATGGCATCGACAAAAGAAGCAAACATTTGGATTAAACTAACCTCAAATAGTTCACTACGTGCCATTTGTGGGCCCTCAACCAGTGTTTGGGAAACACCGTCCTGTGTCATTAACATCACTGTGATCTGGACAGTTTCCTACCGTCTTCTCTCCTTACAGGAAGACAGAAGACAGATGTGTGGCCAGGTGAGGCCCCCCCCCTCCCTGCAGC